GCGAACGAGACACGGGAATATATTTTTGGAGCATATAAGAGCGAAAGAGCCCATACATTCAACGTTCGCCCACTGTAATTCGATGAGCGAAGGTGGCAGGTCTGGGCGGGAGATGCCGAATTGCGTGGAGTGGAGCACCGGCGAGTACGACGCGCAAGGAGGATACACCGCCACCACAATCCGCATCGAGACATGCGGCTCCGACGCCGGCAGTAGCAGGCGCAGCAGCAGAAAGACCACAAGCACAGTCCGCCGCCGCAAGAAAAAGAAACTGATGCAGCAGCACCAGCAGATGTGGTTCGCCACCGCCGAGGAAGATTTCTTCCCGCCGACCACCACGCGGCAGGCATCATCATCGGCGGGAAAGGCACGCTGTGCGGTCAAGACGCCGTTCGCCACTAGCTCCGCTGGAGCACCGTACAATAAGAAACTTCGTAAGAAGAACATGCAGAGACAGCCGAACCACCTCTCATTTGGTGCCACGATGGCAACAGCAACACCCACAACAACGGCAACGGCGACGACAACCGTTGAAGCGGAGCGGAGCTCGCCATCCTTCTTTATCTCCGCAATGCACCGCGCTGTGGCGGAGGCAACAACGCCATGGGACACCACCGCCGGGCCGGGGTCAACGCGGTATCAGTTCTTTGGTCATGGTGGCCTCTCCGCAAATGTTCCTCGCGCTGTGCTAGGAGGCAAACGTGGCACGAACAATGAGGCTGACGACGACTGCCCACTGTCGACGAATTCGCGGAAGCATGAAAGATCGGCTGTTGGAGGCGGAAGCTACGTGCTGGCGCCACTGCGATCGCCCTCAGTGCTCCCGCCGCTTCAGTTGCTGCCCGCCAGCAAGGCAGAAGTCAACAGCGACGTGCTGGAGCGGTGTTTTTTAGAGGCACAATTAGGCGATGATGACAACTTCTCGCTTTTGTAGGCAGGAGAAAGAGAAAAAAAAAATTTTTTCTTCTGTTGTACTGCCATATATATATATATATATATGTATATATTGGTGGTGTTGAGATGGGTTGCCGTGGAACTGTCGAATAAATGAAGAGATGGAGGATATAAAGATTTGAACAGCCCGCCTGAGGGCTGTGTTACCTGTTCTTTGATCTGTTATCTATTCTGCTCACGGGAGCGATGCTGTGTGTGTCTCTGTCTGTGTCGATGTTTCTCTGCGTATGCGAGCGAGAAATGTTTCTTCCTTCACTACTCTACATATCCAATATGCAATGTATACCACGTGCAGGGTGCAGAAGAGGCACGGGTGGCCCATTCAGCAATGCAGTCCGCCCCTGCGCACGTGCAGAAGGACACAATCCTGCACTTGACGTACTATGAGATTTTCTCCTGCGATCCGGCGGCGCAGAGCATAGACCTGGATTCCGTGCAGCGCGCCTACCGCCGCTTCGCGCTTCTGTTCCACCCCGACAAGGATCCCTCGCCGGCAGCGCGAGAGGCGTTTGAGCGGGTGAAGCTCGCCGCAGAGACCCTCACTGACCCGCTCAAACGCCGAGAATACGACGAGGATTTGCAGCAGGCCCAGCGGCGGCTGCACAGCGACACCACCACAGCGGTGCAGCAACAGAAGCGGGAAGAAATGGAGGAAGAGGCACGCGTCGCCGATATGATACTTAGGCAAAAGGAGGCTGAAACGGCAGCAAAGGCAGCGGCAACGCGCAAAGAGGAGGCAGAGAAAGAAGCAGCAGCAAGGCAGATGCTGCACGAACTAACAGAGTCCTTGACAACTCCATTTAAACAGATGGAGGCTGTGCTGGTGCATGAGTGGGACATTGACGAGGAACTGCTACAGATGAAAAAGAAGGAGGTCGAATCTCTCCTTCAGATGCTACGTGAGTATGAAGATAGCCGTGGCGTGTATCGAGGAGCAGATGCCGTGCATGCATCTGGAGCGAAACGCAGACGAAACGATGAAGCGGAAGGAGAGGTGTAACATTGTGAGCTGGTTGCCTTTTAAGGTGAGTTCGTCCCGCCATTGAATCTCTACTCCAGAGTGAATGGCTTGCTTCCAATGGTACGCAGTGGTGTTGGTTTCTTACTTTGTCTGC